TACTTTTATCTCTCTAGTGTGTCATAAATCTCTTTTAGTTAATGTTCCAAACAACACATGGTGGATTGATTCAGGTACTACAATTCCCATTGCCAATACTATGCAAGGCTTTTTGGACCTAAGGAAGCCACAACCAAGTGAATAAAGAGTCTATTCTGGAAACCAGTTGAGTTCAACTATTGAAGGCGTGGGAACTTTTAGATTAGTTTTAAATTATGGTTTTCATTTGAATCTTAAAAACACTTTTTATGTTCCATGTTTTTCTTGTAATTTAGTTCCTATTTCGAGATTAGCACCATTAAATTTCAAGTTTGTATTTGAAAACAAAAGTTTTAGCTTATTTCACAATTCAGTTATTGTTGGACATGGTATTTTGGTTGATAATTTATATCAATTTGTTTTGGATCCCACTTATGAGTGTAATTTATCTGAACTGCATGGTGATGGTATCGGTAATAAGCGTTGTATTGTTAAAGAGAACTCCTCTAAGTTATAGCACAGGAGATTGGGACATATCTCTATAGAGAGGCTTAAAAGATTAGTGAATGATGGAGTTTTATAAACTCTTGACTTTACTAATTTTGGGACTTGTATTGACTGCATAAAGGGAAAGCAGACAAACAAGACTACTAAAAGTGCCAAAAAGAGTTCAAACATTCTTGAGATTAGTCACACAGATATTTGTGGACCTTTTCCCACTCCTTGTCTAAATGGTCGGAGATATTTTACCTCATTTATTGATGACCATTCAAGCTATATGTATCTCTATATTCTAAATCATAAGGATGAGGCACTAGATACTTTCAAGATTTATAAAGCTGAAGTAGAGAAACAAAACGAAAGAAAAATCAAAATTATAAGGTCGGGCAGGGATGGAGAATTTTATGGACGGTACACAGAAAGGGGACAAATATCAGGTCTGTTTGCTGAGTTTTTAGCAAAACAAGGTATTGTAGCACAATATACAATGCCAGACACACCACAAAAAAATGGTGTTGTTGAAAGAAGAAATAGGATCTTAATGGACGTGGTTAGGAGCATGATGAGCAGTTCAAGCCTATTTCTAAATCTGTGGAGTGAATCCTTAAAAACTGCTGTGTATATCTTGAATAGGGTTCCATCTAAGGCAGTTCCTAAAATACCATTTGAAATTTGGAATGGATGAAAACCTAGTTTAAGACATATACATATCTGGGGTTGTCCTGTTGAAGCGAGAGTTTACAATCCTCACATAAAGAAATTGGACCCAAGAATAGTTAGTGGATTTTTCATAGGCTATCCAGTGAACTCCAAGGGCTATAGATTCTATTGTCCTACTCACACTCCAAGGATTGTCGAAGCTAGAATAGTGGATTTTTCATAGGCTATCCAGTGAGCTCCAAGGGCTATAGATTCTATTGTCCTACGTACACTCCAAGGATTGTTGAAGCTAGAAATGCAAAATTTCTAGAGGATCATGAAGTGAGTGGGAGTGAGTTTCCTAAAAATATTGATTTTCAGGAAATGAACGAATATGTTGGGTCATCTTCCAATCCGGTATATTGATTCCTTTCGAAAGAAAGAATTCGAGTACAATTGGAAATGAACCAACTCAAGAACAACCGTTTCTATGTGAGGAAAATGCAGAACGAGAATCCCTACTTGATGTTGAACTTATTACTACTAAAAACATACAAATCAAGATGAAATAGTAGGTATAAGGAGATCCTCGAGAATAAGAAAACATGCAATTTCTAGTGATTATATTTTATATCTTCAAGAGTTCGATACATGTGTTGAACTTGACAATGATCCTAGCTCGTTTTCACAAGCTGTTGAAGGGGAAAATTCAAGTTTTTGGTATGATGCCATGAAAGAAGAGATGGAATCTATGGCTAGAAATCAAGTTTGGGATCTCGTTGAATTGCCAGATAAACATACAACCATTGGTTGTAATGGGTCTATAAGACCAAAAGAAATCCATCTGGCACTATAGAACGATATAAGTCTAGACTTGTAGCTAAGGGTTTCACTCAAAAGGAAGGCATCAATTACCATGAAACATTTTCTCCAGATTCTAAGAAAGATTCATTTAGAATTATAATGGCTTTAGTAGCTCATTTTGATTTGGAGCTACATCAAATGGATGTGAAAACAACATTTTTGAATGGGGATCTTGAAGAAGAAGTATACATGAAACAACTCGAAGGATTTGTAGTGATAAAGGTAATCACATGGTTTGTAAATTAAGGAAATCTATATATGGGCTAAAACAAGCTTCCGGTCAATGGTATTTGAAGTTTCACAATGTTGATATGGTTTTACAGAAAATGTCATTGACCAGTGCATATATCTTAAAATCAATGGGAGCAAATACACATTTCTAGTCCTATATGTAGAGATATTTTACTTACAAGCACTGATTTGGGAATGTTACATGACAAAAAATAATTTCTTAGCCAAAACTTTGAAATGAAGGATATGGGTGAAGTCTCTTATGTCATTGGCATAGAGATTCACAAAGACAGACCTAAAATGTCATTAGGATTATCTCAGAAGGCCTACATTGAAATTTTTTTGGAAAGATTCAGGATGAATAATTGTGCATCAAGTATAGCACCCATCGTTAAAGGTGATAAATTCAGTCAGAATTAGTGTGCACTAAATGAATTGGAAAGAGAGCATATGGCTTCTGTACCCTATGCTTTCGCTGTCGTCAGTTTGATGTAAGTCTGTACTAGACCCAACATTACATTTGCAGTTGGTATACTAGGCATATATCAAAGTAATCCGGGAATCGAACATTAGAAAGCTGCCAAGAAAGTGATGAGGTATCTACAAGGAACCAAAGACTACTGACACACATACTAACATTCTGACAATCTTGAAGTTTTTGGATATACGGATTCAGATTTTGCTGGATGTGTAGACACAAGAAAGTCTACTTCAGGATACATCTTTCTTCTAGCTGGAAGAGCTGTATCTTGGAGAAGCAGCAAGCAGACTATAATTGCATCGTCTACCATGGAAGCAGAATTCATTGGTTGCTACAAAGCTAGACACAGGCATTATGGTTGAGAAATTTTGTCAAAGGCTTAAGAGTTGTCAATAATATAGAGAAGTCTTTAAAGATTTATTACGATAATTCGGCTGCAATTTTCTTTTCAAGAAATAACAAAAGTGGAAGTCGAAGCAAACATACCGACATAAAGTATCTGGTTGTCAGAGATCATATAAAGAAAAATGAAGTGGCCATTGAGCACATCAAGACAAATCTCATGATTTCAGATCCCATGACTAAGGGCTTGACGGCTAAAGTTTATAAAGCTCATGTTGAGAATATGAGACTTACATGCTCAGTTGAACTTTGATGATCGATTTTTAAGATTGTTGTTTTGTATTTGAAATAATGTTATTAGTGTACTTAAAGTTTGTAATTTGGATATCCATTGTGGTTATTAAAGTTTGGACCCCGAATGACTTATAAGAAGCTCATTTATAAAGAAAAGTAATCTCTAGAAGTGATAATACTTGTAATACATGGAAGGAAATGTTCGATTATTAAAACAAGACCGCCATGATTCAAGTATTGTGAATTTCTACTTGAGTAGGTTATTGGCAGTTTTAGTATATGGCCATATTAAGTACCCACTTTGAACATGTGGAACAATTGGGAGAATGTAAGCCGTTTGTGGCCCACATGGTCAATGTAAAATTAAATACGTTTTAAGTTTAAATTGTGGGTTAATTAACTGTCAAGATAACTTTCCATTTGGTTAAAGAAGGGAAGTTATTGCAGGAGAAAACTATCCACTTCCATGAGGGATGGAAGTTGTTTGGTGGTTGCCTATATATGCCAAAGGGTCCTTAGCCAAACTTGTACAAAATCTCTGCAGAATTTTAAGCTCTGCTCTAGCCCTAAAAAAAATCTCCGTGACAAGGGGACAATAGCAGTCCGTAGGGCGCGTTGAACAGGTCGTTTAAGGAAGGGGGTTATACAAGAATTATCGGCACCTTGAACTGTACTATCGGAACTGTGCTCTGAAGATTGATTTAAGACGCCCTCACTTCGAGGAAGGAATAAAACAATTCCCAATAAGGATATCCCCATAGCCAATCTATTAACTATGAAAGGTACCCCGCAGGAACATCCACAATAGATCCAGTGCGCTTGACTTCGTCGGTATGACCACTGGACTTGCCCGGCTATCCTCGCTTTCTTGTGAAAGCTAACGCCCTTAATGCTAGGTTTTGAAAAAGACTTTTCATGTCATTCCCATTTAGGTCCGATTCGGATCCCTCTGTTGTTTCCTTTTCCTTCCGCACCTTTTCCTCGAAATGAGAAAGAAGATGGTACACTTGAATTGTATTATTTAAGTGCTTATTGCTTGCCAAAAATCCTACTTCTACAATTGGTAGGTCACCGGATTATTCAAATAAGTCGTGTTTTCCGTGGTTTTCCCATGTTACAACTTCCGTACCAATTCGGTCGATCCGGAATGGATCGGTTAAACATTCCATTAGGGAGCCTGGTCTTGACTCTTCTGTGTGGTATTCATTCTCGTTCGGCTCTTGGAATCACATCCAGCAGTGGTTGGAACAGCTCGCAAAATCCAACCACTTCACCTACTTCATTGCCCCCAACCCTTTCTCGTACCTCTATTGAAACAGAATGGTTTCATGTTCTTTCATCGATTGGTTATTCCTCTCCGTTCGTATCTCTTTTTCCAATTTCGGTCTCGATTAGTTCACAAGATTGAATGGCCAATTCTCCTCCGGACCCTCGATTCGATTGTTTTCCAAGAATGTTGAGCCGGGTATGTAAGCCATGTATCTGGGAGGAACTTAAATAAAAAAAAGAATTCCTCTATTTGATGTCGATTCATCCACACTTCCATTCCTTGTAGAGGAAGGCTAACTGCTTGCTGGCTGGGAGCTGTATGAGCGGTAACGTCCACGTACGGCTCCGTGAGAAGGGCGGTGGACAGAAATGGCCTTGTTGTACCTCACTCTCGTCTTCAATGGGGTCTGCTCTTTTTTTTTTGGGAGAGTATGCCAATATGATCTTAATGAGGTGCGGGGCTTTGCATCTGACATTCGTTGGGCTTCCCTTTTCGGGAGCCTGCGTCCCGGCGTTTTTGTGCAATAAACCCCTCCGGCCGAAGACTAGTGGTAGGTGGTCCCGCGGAGCTTTCGGAAAAGGGTAGCCTAGTGTGTAAGCACAGCAATGAACCGCGGCGAACCCTCAGACGACCTATCTAAGATTAGGGGGGAGATCCTCAGTAGTGGTGACCCTTTCACTCTTCCACGGACTGATACATGTACCGAATGCTCATACGGGAAAGTTGACTCCTGGGTCTGGTTGCTCCGAGAAATCCTTTCTTTCTCGTCCACTCAGGGGGGTGCGGACACACCTGCGCGGATTACAGGTGACAGTTACAAGAATGGCGGGGAAGTTAACAGTACCCGACGACATTCAGGGATGGATGTAGACCCATCGGGCAGGGATAATCATTCCGGTCCTGGGAGGTGGCGACCATTCTCAAGAACCAAAAAGAGGAAGCCCTATGAGTCACTGAAACGACGGCAGGAGGGCCCTTGATCTATCAATAGAGGGAGCAAAAAACGGGCTTTGCTCCCCTTTACAATATGAAGAAAGAAATAAGGATCGAAGTTTAGACCGCTCACAGTAGTTCTACCTATAGAAAGGATCATGAAAGAGGCGATCAGAATGGTACTCGAATCCATTTACGATCCCGAGTTTCCAGACACATCGCACTTCCGCTCGGGTCGAGGCTGCCACTCGGTCCTAAGACGGATCAAAGAAGAGTGGGGAACCTCTCGCTGGTTTTTGGAATTCGACATCAGGAAGTGTTTTCACACCATCGACCGACATCGACTCATCTCAATCTTTAAGGAAGAGATCGACGATCCCAAGTTCTTTTACTCCATTCAGAAAGTCTTTTCCGCCGGACGACTCGTAGGAGGTGAGAAGGGCCCTTACTCCGTCCCACACAGTGTATTACTATCGGCCCTACCAGGCAACATCTACCTACACAAGCTCGATCAGGAGATAGGGAGGATCCGACAGAAGTACGAAATTCCGATTGTTCAGAGAATTAGATCGGTTCTATTAAGGACAGGTCGTATTGATGACCAAGAAAACTCTGGAGAAGAAGCAAGCTTCAACGCTCCCCAAGACAACAGAGCCATCATTGTGGGGAGGGTAAAGAGCATCCAACGCAAAGCGGCCTTTCATTCCCTTGTTTCGTCGTGGCACACCCCCCCCACAAGCACCCCCCGGCTCAGGGGAAAGTTAACACTTAATTTTATTATGTTCTTTTTCATGTGTAAAAGTTTTCTACAAGTCATGTTTATAAATGAAGTTGGTGATGTTCATTATATTAAAGAAAAATTAAATCACTTTCGTATTTATGATTTTAAGAGAAAATGAAATAATAATACTTCCAAGTCTAAGTATTTAAATTTGGGAGTGTTACAGTTAATGACTACACTCTCATTTGCCACTATTTAATTAAAGTCACCAACAGTTAAATGATACCCATCTATGATAAATGTTTGCCCAACTAAATATTTGGAATTAATGGACAAGTCAGAAACTCAATTGGATAAGGGGGCTTGTTTGGCGTATTTTGCAAAGGTTTACTAGTAAGTATTGAAAGTTATAACCAAATGATGTTAACAAGCCTACACGTGTCAAGAGATACTCAAGTCATATTTTAACAAAACTTATCTATTCTATGACCAGGTTATTTGAGAATGAAGTTAATATAAATCAATAAGTAGTATAATAAACTTGATGAATAAAAGGCAGTGATTTTATTTTTATTATTATTTTATATAACTTATTTCATGTTGGACCTCATTGGACTTGGCCCATTTCTTTAACCCTCCAAGTCCGTCTCTATTTATTTCTCTATATATACGGGACTCATTTCATAATGAAGGTAAATTCTTTAACCTAAACTAAACCCACTCACCTGTTTCTTACAATCTTTATTTTCTTTTCGTCCGGTCATTGATTTGATCGTCGGAGTGCAAACGATCGTCGAATATTTTTCTCGACCAATGACCTTTACCTCCTAACAGGATGTTCCTTGTACATGTGTGGAGGGGATGAAATCAGGATTCTGCTGGCACAATTTTTGAGGTCAACAGATTGACAACATCTGTAAGACATGGTACTAATCATGTTATATCATGTACAAAAAGGCCACCAGAAAATTCCATTTTTTCTGTCAATTTCTTTACTGAAAAAGAGGCAAAGACAGCAATACAACAACCAGAGAAAAGAAGAAAAAAGGCAGTAACCGAAAAGAGTGACTTTTCTTAATATTTTCCTCCACCAAAAATTCAAGGAAATCAGCAACCAACAACGAAGAAAAAAGCTACTGGAATTGGAGTTTTCAAATACAGAATTTTTGAGGATTTTCTTTGGCTTCCATGTTGGAGAATTAGCCATCGAAATGATAAATCTTCTTGGATAGTTTGTAAACCGTTTGCGGCCTACATGGTTAATGTAAAATTAAATACATTTGAAGTTTAAATTGTGGGTTAATTAACTGCCAAGATAACTTCCCATTTGGTTAAAGAAGGGAAGTTATTGCAGGAGAAAACTACCCACTTCCATGATGGATCGAAGTTGTTTGGTGATTGTCTATATATGCCAAAGTGTCCCTAGCCAAATCTGTACAAAATCACTGCCGAATTTTCTATCTAAAAATTGAAAGTCTTGTATTTTATTTCCATCAAGTTGAAGGGTTATAAAGTGGGTATTGACTGGAAGACCTTTTGGCGCCTCAAGGACTCATTTCTATTGCAAATTATCAATTAAATCTTGAATAACATAGTTGGAGGTACACATTTTAATTTCTTACATGTGGTATCAGAGCCACCTTCATGCTTGGTTATTTAGATTTTTTATGAAATACAGATTGCATTACCAATGTTTATATGTCGTTCTTCAGTTTTCCTTTGGTTTTAATTGTGCGTGAAAATCACCTTTTTTTTTTTTTTTTGGAATTAATACGCATGACCATGTGCGCATGTATACATATTGTTTTAATTTGGTTTAATTGGCATTAATCCAAGTACTGCAGGAATACAAATAGTTTATGTAGGCAATTTTATATTTTAAAGCAGTATGAGTGTTTAACGAAATTATCTGAAAATACAAATGTCGTGTTGCCCCATTAAATGGTTAGTTTGCTAATGGGTTTGTGAAATTTAAATGAGACTGCTAGAATGACATTACGAATAAATGCTAAGATGTTGACGTGCATTGATGTTAAAAAGAATTTTGGCATGATTAAACATATTAACCAAAATTTTCCAGTTTACCATGGAAATTATTTGCAAAAGGTAATAAATGACTGACATTGATTCATGCACAACCTGTTCTTTATGTGTGATAAATCATTGGAATTGTTATGGCATATAATTGTTTAATGGAATCAAATTGTTCAAAGCAGTAAAGATGTCGGTGCCAAATTAATTAGTTAGAATTCACTAGCTATTATATTTTAGTTATATACTAATTGCAATAAATTTGAACACAAATTTTGATTACATTACAGTAGTTTATATTTCTAAGTTTAAATAGCAATCTGTTTATTGAAATATAACTAGTGTAGTTGCTAAACTTTATACACACATTTTTTTTTTTTAAATCTGAGAAATATGTTGAATATTTTGTGGGAGGATTTAGTAAATATTCATCAACCTCCTTAAGGATCTTTAGTCTAGAGATGTCATTTGAGTTTTCGACGTACTATTATAATTTAAGATTAGCAAAAGTGTCTTTAGTTATAATTTTATGTCATGAATATAAATCACATAAGGAATTATTTGGTGATATAATTGATATCCCATAAAGTGCAGTTAATTAATATGATGATTATTTGGCCCCACAGGAAAATAGTTGTCTTAAGGATTTAATTGAAATAAAGTAACTATTAAATATCAAAACAAGAAATTTCCTAGGCCCACAGGTGTGGAAATACTTGTATTTGATATTACTAAAGTCTTTGTAAACTCGATGTGTGATAACAACCTCTACCCACAGGAAGGTTTGAATTTACATAATTGAATTGACATTGGTTAATTCAATTTAAAGATGGTTTTCATAGCCTTAATATATGTGTTTATTTTATGTAGCGGTTCCTAATTTTTTCAATGACTCTATTCAAATTCCAATTCTATGTGGTGATAACTTTTCTGACTGGAAGGAGAAAATTCTCCTTACTTTGGGATGTATGGATCTCGACTTGGTGCTCTGTGTGGATGAACCAGTTGTCCCTATGAAATCAAGTACGCCAGAAGAGAGGTCACTATATGAATCGTGGGAAAGATGCAACCACATAAGTGTGAGTCTCATAAAGACTCATGTTAGTAAAAGCATCAGGGGATCGATCCCTCAATGTGATAAGGCCAAGGACTTCATAAAGGTTATTGAAGAGCAATTTGTAAGTTATGACAAAATGTTGGCCATCACCTTAATGAAAAGGCTTTCAGGCATGAAGTTTGACAATTCTAAAGGTGTGCGTGAGCACATAATGGAAATGAGAGATATTGTTGCTCGTCTTAAATCCTTGGAGATAGAGATTTCTGAGTCATTCCTTGTGCATCTCATTTTGAACTCTCTTCCTACGGAGTATGGTCCATTTAACATATCGTATAACATACATAAGGAAATATGGACTGTAAATGAACTCCTAACAATGTGTGTTCAAGAGAAAGAGAGGCTAAAGCATGAGAAATTGGAAACTGCTCATCTGACAACTCATGACAAGGAAAAAGAGAACAAGGGTAAATATGGTCCTAAAATGAAGAACAAAATGCCAATGAAACAAAAGGGCAATAAGGATGTCTGTTTCTTTTGCAAGAAGAAAGGGCATATGGAGAAGGACTGTTTCAAGTATAAAAAATGGCTCGAAAATAAAGGTACTCTTATCTCTCTAGTGTGTCATAAATCTCTTTTAGTTAATGTTCCAAACAACACATGGTGGATTGATTCAGGTACTACAATTCCCATTGCCAATACTATGCAAGGCTTTTTGGACCTAAGGAAGCCACAACCAAGTGAACAAAGAGTCTATTCTGGAAACCAGTTGAGTTCAACTATTGAAGGCGTGGGAACTTTTAGATTAGTTTTAAATTATGGTTTTCATTTGTATCTTAAAAACACTTTTTATGTTCCATGTTTTTCTTGTAATTTAGTTTCTATTTCGAGATTAGCACCATTAAATTTCAAGTTTGTATTTGAAAACAAAAGTTTTAGCTTATTTCACAATTCAGTTATTGTTGGACATGGTATTTTGGTTGATAATTTATATCAATTTGTTTTGGATCCCACTTATGAGTGTAATTTATCTGAACTGCATGGTGATGGTATCGGTAATAAGCGTTGTATTGTTAAAGAGAACTCCTCTAAGTTATAGCACAGGAGATTGGGACATATCTCTATAGAGAGGCTTAAAAGATTAGTGAATGATGGAGTTTTATAAACTCTTGACTTTACTAATTTTGGGACTTGTATTGACTGCATAAAGGGAAAGCAGACAAACAAGACTACTAAAAGTGCCAAAAAGAGTTCAAACATTCTTGAGATTAGTCACACAGATATTTGTGGACCTTTTCCCACTCCTTGTCTAAATGGTCGGAGATATTTTACCTCATTTATTGATGACCATTCAAGCTATATGTATCTCTATATTCTAAATCATAAGGATGAGGCACTAGATACTTTCAAGATTTATAAAGCTGAAGTAGAGAAACAAAACGAAAGAAAAATCAAAATTATAAGGTCGGGCAGGGGTGGAGAATTTTATGGACGGTACACAGAAAGGGGACAAATGTCAGGTATGTTTGCTGAGTTTTTAGCAAAACAAGGTATTGTAGCACAATATACAATGCCAGACACACCACAAAAAAATGGTGTTGTTGAAAGAAGAAATAGGATCTCAATGGACGTGGTTAGGAGCATGATGAGCAGTTCAAGCCTATTTCTAAATCTGTGGAGTGAATCCTTAAAAACTGCTGTGTATATCTTGAATAGGGTTCCATCTAAGGCAGTTCCTAAAATACCATTTGAAAT